CCCACGTCAGGCTCTCTGTTCAGTGGGGAGCCTGCTTCTCCCTCTGTACTCTCTCTTCCTCTCAAATAAATATATGAAAGTCTTGAAAAGAAACGTTAACTGAACTAAACTGTGCTTCATGTCATGGCTGGGTTCCATTCTGGTGTGAGCTCCTTACTTGGTACACTGGTCTGTGAACCACATGCCGAGCAGCCGTAAGGTGCTTTATGAAAACGAATGAACAAATGAACAAATGAGACGTATCTAATCTGGACTGAATGGCTTTTTCAGGGCTGAGGTGGGAGGATGGAGAGGAGAATGGTGATGACAGTGTTCTCTGTCAGAGGGATAGCGTTCCGTGCCTGCTTTGGAACTAGCCGGAAGAGCGAAGCTTCCTGAAGGCCACCGTTGCCCGCACCACCCTCGGTTCACTATGAAATGCATTTCCCCTCTTTCTTCGGCCCTTCTTCTTGTTCAAATCTCTTTTTCCCATGCTTTTGGCATGGGGTTTAAAGAAAGAAAAACAATATATGAGAGTTCATTGTATGTTTTATGTTTTACGCACAATTAAATACAATTTTCACAACTGGGTGTATTCCTACTTTGTAAATGCTCAGAGAGGCTCAGTAACTTGGTCCTACACGTAATAAAGTGGTAGGCTTGAACCTAGGTCTGTTTGGTTCTCTCCCAGATGGTTTGGTCTTTTACTCTCATATCCGAGGAGGTATGAAGGGAATCCAGGTCCAGGACGCCTGGGTGTCTTAGTCAGTTAAGCATCTGCCTTTGGCTCAGATCATGATCCTGGGGTCCTGGGATTGAGCCCCGCATCAGGCTCCCTGCTCAATGGGGAGCCTGCTTCTCCCTCTGCCTGCTGCTCCCCCTGCTTGTGCTCTTGGTCTCTGACAATAAATAAAATCTAAGGAAAAAAAAAGTAATAAATAAAGGAATCCAGGTCCTGGGGCACAACTTGAAAAATGCCCACACTGACACACTGATGTTCCATTTTGGAACTTTGAGGTTCCATTAGTCTCCCAGTCCTGCCACCTTGTTTAATTGCCACGGTCCTGCCACATTGGCCACTTCTCTTTGCCACTTCACATTGGCATTTGTTGGATACTTGTGTGTCCCTGTAGGTTGTAAATATCTTCATCTTATCATTTTTGTATCCTTCACAATAGGGTATGGGGCTTTAAAAGCCATGCATACGATGGGTTGTTGCTTTGAATTAGTCCATAAACTTCTCTATGTGCCAAAGACAAATATTAGATGACTGAGAATGAATGAGACCCCTAGACTGACGCTGTAAGATGTTGTGATGTGAAGCTGAGCATGTGCCTGGGCCCCCAAAGCAGTGCACAGTGGGTAGGAAAGGCATCAGACAGCTCATTCTTCTCCTGAGATGTACTCCATGCTGTCCCTGAATTACGGTGTTTGGAACTTGTTACTATCTGTAACCCTTTTTAGAATGGGAACTGGGTCTTTTGTTGTTTCTCCAGTGCCCAGCACAGTCCCTGACACACAGTTCGTGGCACTTGAAAAGTGTGTAGAATTACTGAATGTGCTCAGTTCTCAGCACTGGCTCTTAAACTGCTGGTGCTAGTGCTATTTGTTCCCACGTGGTTCTTCCATTACAAAGTGTAATTTCTTCTGCTCCTGGATTTCCTGGTCTTGATCTAACACCTTTTCTTCTTTTTCTATCTCTGCCCACTCTGGCTTTGGGTCAGGCCCAATTCTATGACCAGAAGCAGCACAGCAGGGAGGAAGGTGAGAGATGTGACAATTATTAGAACTGTGGTGAAGTACGAGGCAGTGATATGAAAGAAAGACCGTGAGGCTTATGCAGAAGGCAGGCAATGGGTACAGACAGCTCATGCCCACCCAGGCTTGCCTCCGGGAGCTGGAACCTGGCTCCTCTCAGACTACTGTATATCACATTCCCATTACTCCTATGCAGGAGCCAATTATACCTTTGATCTTCCTACAGATAGAGCAGTTCTTTCTTTGGGCACAGAATCAGGCCCTCAACAAGCACTGAATTGGACAACAGGTATGACATGTGGTCCACCAGGGAAGCTCTTAAAGATTCAGTGTCTAAGGTTTTATTGGTGGCTGGTCATACAGGCAGGGCCTTGTTTGACACATTCCCAAATTCCAGACTCCCTGAAGGAAAGCAGGTGTTCACTATAACCATAGCGTTTCTACCAACAATTTAGTCACACTGTGAATGAGGTCATGTGAATCAGGTCATGGTCTCAGGTTTGGAAGAGTGGGAATCCTCTCAAAGTCAAAGTCACCGAATGCCAGCCAAAAGCCAACCCCGTAGGCAGGCCTTTATAAGGACAGTGGTCTCAGGTCTGCTGTGTCAACTCCTTCTCCACACTAGCACAGCTTCAGATTTTTCTGTGGGGTTGGCTAAGGTGCCACCTTCACAGCCCTACATACCAGATGCAGCAGTGGTAGTCTTCATGAGAGCTCTATTTATTCCACAAAATTTAGACAGAGTCTACAGGATGATAGCAGACTAAGGCAGATTCAACGAAGGAACCCTGACTATAGATGCTGTGCCAGATGTGACATCTCTGCTGGAGCAGGTTAACAAGGCTATGGGTACATGGTATGTGGCTACCTGTCCGGTGGGCAATGTTTTTCCATCCCTATTAAAACAGGATCACAAACAGTTCACCCTCACATGGAAGAAATAACAGGCCATGTAACTCTCTGGCTTCCATTAATATAATCAAAAGAGACATAAACCAGGTAGACATTCTACAGAAAGTCACTTAGGTCACCAGACTGATGGATTATGTTAATCCAATGGCATGAGCAAGATGTGATTTGTACATGTGCTCTAGAGGGTGAGATAAAACCCATGCCCCTCAGAGCCTACCGTATCAGTAAAATTTGGGGGGAGGAGTATCCAGGGAGCAGGGGCATGCTAGCATATCCCCTCTGAAGTAAAAGAAAAATTATTACAACCTGCATCTCCCACTATGAAGAAGGAAGCCCATTTCACACTTAATACTCCTCCTCTCAGCTTTTACACTGAGTGACATGAAAGGCTGCCAGTTTTGAGTGACGCCCAAGCAGGAAACATCCAAATTTTGGCAAAAGCCAGTCTGCCACTTGGGTCATCTAATGTAGCAGACCCTATGATATCAGAGTTATTGGTGGAGGGAAAAATGCAGAAGAAATGAAAGCAAAACCACAGTACATATACTCTATTTTTCTCTGCTCATTTTATTGAGTAACTGTATAAAAACCAGATACATTACCAGAGAAAATATTTTATTTTATTTTTCAAATGAATAATGGATTCTTCACTCCTCAATTATTTCTGTAATATTTTACCCTTTTTCAAAACTAAATATATATTTTAATACATTTCACCTTTTCTCAAAGACTGTGGTATAATTTTGATTATCTTTAGCAACCAAAGTCTATTTCCAGCGATTTGAACTTGATATGGAGAAAAATGCCATGTCAAGTCCTTTGTACCTGATTTGGTGCTGAGGTTGAACTGGTGTATTGGTTTGTTCCAGGATCCAGAGGCTACTCCAAGCTTTAAAGCAAAGTGAAACCTTAGGCTGGCCTCGGCTGCTTGAGGCCCCTCTGGATGGGGGTGACTGGTTGGCTCTGCACGGGACAGTTTCTCCCTGGTCTGGGCTGGAATATCTGGAACAGAGTACTGAGGTATTTACTGTGTCTATTTGTTTGGGGTGGCAGGTGAGGAGAACCCTACTTCTTATGTCAGATTTCTATTGGTAATCATCTCTCCATAAGAATAAAGAGCAAAAATGGGTAGCTCTGGGTCCTTAATGATACTGAGATTTTGTTCTCAGTTCCCTATCTCTCAGTAAAATACTAAGCCCAATGACAAAGAAGAAAAGGGCCAAGTTCACTGTGAACACAAGTGGTAAAAGTGACTGTGGTGACTGACTGTGATTGAGGCACAAATTGGGCTTTGACTCTTGGAGAGGTCTCATAGGCTGGAGTCATTCTGAGCAGCCGGTAGAGAGCCAAATTTGGACATACTGTGTTTGGATTGATCCTACTTTTCTCCACTGTCCACTGACTTTAATTTTCATACTCAAAAATAGTCTCCATTTCTATCACAGTATCTCTATAAAATCTAAGATCGTATCCAAACTTCCCCTTCAAATGTCCATTATGAATTCAAAATTAAGTAACTAAAATAAATAGTGGGGAGCTAATGAGATTTTTTTCTAGGTAGTAAAAAGACATGACCTTGGTGTTTCTTCTTAGCATAATGTTGACCTCTGAAATGTGGGAAGGTTCCCATTTAGATGGAATCCTACATAAAAATATAACATGCATTAACACACAGAAAATTCTTGACTACAGAGAAAATTCAAGTGACCATATCCTTACTGATATTAATATAACACAAATAAAATTTCCATGAACATTTCAGCACAAAATGCAATTCATTTCCAGTTAACACAATGAAACAAATGATACTCAAATTCTAACTACTACAGCATAGACATCTGAACGAGGTTTGAATATGTACATGTGTTTCAAAGTGGAATTTGGCTTTGGGCTGGTAATTTTTAATCTAATCCACAGTATTTATGACTCTTAATTTCAGTTGTTCTTAATAAGAAATTAGGAGGAAAGCTAAATTTCTGATACTTGGATCAAAAAATAGCTAAGGGTTCTTCTTTTGTATAGTCAGTAAGAAGCTACTGCTAAAGTAAAGTAAAGTAAAGAAAGTAAAGCTGCTTTCAATAAAAGTCTTTGGACAGTAGACTCTCCTAATTACAGGAAAATATTCTAACCCTTTCTCCAAATCCTATTGCAACTGGAAGAGCCACAATCATTATTTTTTAATGATTTCATCTATATTTTGTATTTTAGAAATGTCAGCAATGTTACTTTCTGTAAAATACAAAGGAGCATTAAAAATGTCCACGTAGTTCTAGCATCTAGAGTTTGAAGACACTCCTTTATAATGAAACAAAATGTTCAGAACAACTGTCCACGACCAAACTTTAAAAATCAGATTTAGGACCTTTTTTTTTTTTTTTTTTTTGCTTTTTAAACCTATGCACATTTGTATCAATTTCTACTTAGAAGGGAGGAATGATGTACCATACTGAAAAACTGAGACCTCGTCAGAGGTCTTCTCAACCTGGCTCTGAACAACTTTAAAAGCCAACAGATCTGTACCATTGCTATTCTCAGGGTCAGGACTATGGGATGCTATGTAAAAAAAAAACAACAACAACAACAACTTTTGGTATTACTAGTAACAAAAGCAACTTGGATCAGATCCAAGATAGCCTTGTGTTATAAATGAATTCTGCTTTATAGTAAAATACATTTAAAGTGTAATTCAACGTACTTACCATAAAGCATATATAAGTCAAGGTACTCCTTTGAAGCCAAAAATCTGATGCTGTTGAAGCAGAGTCCAGTTCCTAAAACCATGGCTTAATGTGGCTAATTTGATATAATTTCCTAAGTCCTGTTGAAACTTGTGGATCTCTTAACATCTTACGATAGTGACCTGGCACTAGTTTAGGTCTATAAAAACATAATTGTCACAAATCATACAAAAACATGATAACTAGCACACATTTCTGTACGTCTTCAAAAAAACCCTTTGGATAACAACTAAATGCATTATGCTATGGGAGAGCCAAAGAAGCACTCTAAATAATGGATAATATTTAATGATGGTAAATGAGAACTATTTTCTAAAAAGCTGTACCAATATTAATTTTAGGTAGAACAGAACATGGAATTATTTCATGAAATATAGTCTCTTTCTATGCTCTCCTGACAACACTCCCAACAGAAAGCTTCCAGTCTATTTGCTGTTTCTTGGCTGATGAGACATTCATCTTTTAATTCCCTGATTGTCTTCCTCAATGATTTTTGGAAACGTTTTTCTCGGTCTAAAACATTCCGCAGACTTTTCTTGGTATCCTCTAGCTCGCTGATCACATGATCTAATTTATGCTTAAGTTTCTTTGGACTGTCCATTACACTGTAGCTATGTTCCTAAAAACATAAACACCAAGTTATTAAACCAGAGAGACAAGTAGTTACGTAAAAGCTTAGCTAGGTCTCAGCTGTTTTCCATTTACAATGCTTAGATATCTTTAAGTTGGTGATACTTAGCGGTTTAAAGAACACAGGAAGAAGATGCGGGTAGAAGCGGTATTCTGGGTGCCCAGAGCCGCCCTCCTTTATCTAAGGCTAGGTGTGACATGGGGGTAGAGAATCTATGGAGGGGAAGCACTGCTCATTGGGGGTAAGTATCTGCTATGAACATGACACTTGTAATGACTACCCAGCTTTTGTTCCCTAGCTGTGGTGCTGCTATGTTTATGTTTTACCTACCAACAAATCTTCAACTCTTACACTTTTAACTATTTTATTTTATATTGATATTCATGTTAAAGGAAATGACAGAAAAGGAGCACTGGAGCAGGTCCTCGGGCTGAGGGTTATATATTTAGAGAGAACTCTGGTTTGGGGTTTTAAGAGAGAGAATTTAGGCTCTCTCAATATTTATTATGGCTATGTTTATGTTTGCTGGGTATACTTTTTTTTCATTTGAAAATAGGGAAAGTAACACTAACATATCTTAAAAAGGCACTATAAAATAATTTTGAAAAGTTTTTATTTAATATTAAAATTAGTAAAGAGGACTTTTGCTTCTAGCCAAGATGAAATAACAGACTGGATTGACTCCTATCTAAAAAACCCCACATATGGCTAAAAGGCATAAAAAATGTTACAAAGATAACTGACATCAGGCAAGGAAGGCAGCAATCCTGGAGGGATGGGAAACTAAGAGGTAAGCCCTCTGGCTGACCACCCAAGCTTACTGCCTTGGGAGAGCTTTAATGCCGTGGAGCTCGGTAGGCTGAGAAGATTTGCAAAGCATCCAGAAAGACCACAGTGGTTACCATTCACAGGACAAAGTACTAGTGAGGAGAGGGAACTCTGAAGATCCTTACAGGCTCCCCTTCTAGTATTCAGTGCACACAGGTAGAAAACCGCTCAAGGATGAGGAAAAAATGACCAGAAAGGACCCTGTGTTCAGAGGGCATTGCCGCTATTCCCACTCCTACCAGATTAGAAAATTTCAGGATTCATGGGGCACTGAGTAGAGTATACAGAAGGGTCTTGCCGCAGTGGTGGAGAACAAATAGCCCTAGATGGAACACTCTTCTAGTCCTGCCTAACAAACAAAACCTGAGAAGATCAAACTGTTTACAAATAACTTTGTGGTATCCCAGAACAAAGCTCAAGAACACAGGGTACAAAAATATCCAGCATCCAGCAAAGTAAAATCCACAATGTGCAGCACACAACATTTATCAGGTAAGCATAGAAATAGGAGAACATAAGCCATAATAAGAAATAAACCAGTCAATGGAAACTAACCCAGAATTGCCACGATGTTGGAATTAGCAGATAAGGGAATTAAGAAAGTTATTAAAATTGTATTCTGTATATTCAAAAAGTTATTTTTGAGACACATAAGATATAAAAAGGAATGAAATAGAACATCTAGAGATAAAATCAACAATGTGTGAGGTGAAAAATACATTGGAGGGAATTAAGGGCAGATTAGTGAAGGTGAGGATTCAGCAATATGAACTATCCAGAATAGACTGCAGAGAGAAAAGGGAATACTGAAAAACAGAACCAGAAAAAAAAAAAAAAATTAGGACAGCATTAGTAAGTGGTAGTGTGACTCATATAGCCTAATATACATGCAGTCAGAATCCCTGAAGGAATGAAAAGAAAGGTTGAGGTAGAATGAAATATCTGAAGAAATCTTGGCCAAAATTTCTCCAAGTCTGATGAAAACTATAAACCCACAGATAAAGAAGCTCAAGCACATTTCTCATCCCAAGCATGAGAAATATGAAGAAAACTAAACTAAGGTACATCATAATCAAATTATTCAAACCACTGGGAAAGAAAAAACCTTAAAAGCAAAGAAAAAAAGAAACATTAGATATATAGAGGATAAAGATGACAGATTTTGCATTAAAAACAAAGCTTGTGAGGATACAGTGGAGCAACATCTCTGAAGAACTAAAAACAAACAAAAGAATCTCCAAAACTATCAACCTAGGATTTTATACCTAATGAAAAGATCTTTCAAAAACAGAGACTAAATAATGATTTTTTTCAGAAATATAAAAGCTGAAAGAATTCATCACCAAATGTTAAAGTCTTTCAGACAGAATGGAACCACAGGGAAATATAGGAATGAAAAGCCCTGGCAATGGCCGCTACATGGGTAAGGTATAAGATTTTTTTCTTATTATTTTATATCTCTTTAAAAGATAATTTATTGTTAAAACAAAAATTAGAACAATGCAGTGTGGGGTTTATAGTCTATATAAAAGTGAAATGTATGATAGCAGTAACACAAATATTGGGAGAAGGGAAATGAAAGTGACTATTTTAAGATTCTTATAATATGTGTTAAGTGAAATATCAGTTGGATATAGCCTTTGATATTTTAAAGATGAATGCTATAGACTCAAAAGCAACCACTAAAACAAAACAAAAAGTTACAGCTAATGAGTCAAAAAAAAAAAAAAGAATATAAAATGGAACCAAAAAAATTCAATTAACCCAAAAAAAGGCTGAAAAAGAAGAAAATGGGAACAAAGAGCAAATGGAACAAGTAAGAGACAAATAAGACAACAGATTTAATTAAACCAAATAATATCAATAAACACATTAGGTGTAAATGGTCTAAATAACCCAAGTAAAAGGCTGAAATTATCAGATTAGAGTAAAAAAAAAAAAATCAAGACCCAAAAATATAACTTACCTAAAAAAATATGCAGTCCAAACACACCAAATAGGTTCAAAGTAAAAGAGCAGAAAAAGATACAGATCTACCTCCACTTATGATGGGTTTCACAAGGCCTATTTTATAATAAAGTGTTGAATATCTCATGTAACTTACTGAATACTGTTATTGGAAGTGAAAAACAATGGTTGTATGGGCACAGAATGGTTCTAAGTGTCTTGATTGTTCACCCCTGTGATCATGTAGCTGATTGGAAGCTGTGTGACTTGCTGCCATTGCCCAACATCATAAGAGTATATATACCACATATCGCTGGCCCAGAAAAAGATGAAAATTAAAAACTTGAAATAGTAAGTGTACTGTCAATATGAGAGACCCATATTCACTAAAGAATGTCATTTCATTAACTACAACAATGGATCATGGTGTAATTTGTTTCAATTGTTGCATAATTTAGATTTATATTTTGAAATAAATAAGATAATCTTTCACATATATTTTCTAAAGAATACAGTTATTTACAATCCTTTTCTGGTAATAATATTCAAGTTAAGTTAAAAAGAACTTAATTATTTATTTAGCACCACTGCATATGAAATGATTCCTAACATCAAAATGTTTATAGTTTAGGGGCACCTGGGTGGCTCAGTAGGTTAAAGCCTCTGCCTTTGGCTCAGGTCATGATCCCAGGGTCCTGGGATCGAGCCCCACATCCGGCTCTCTGCTCAGTGGGGATCCTGCTTTCCCATCTCTCTCTCTCTCTGACTGCCTCTCTGTCTACTTGTGATCTCTCTCTGTCAAATAAATAAATAAAATATTTTAAAAAAATGTTTATAGTTTATTAAAGATATAATATGAATCAATGTATGCTTTGTAAGAGGCAAGTAGTTGTCTTTTCATTGTTTATGAGTAATTCTTGTCTGACATTTTAAAATACAATCTAGTTAAATTGAAAAAAAAAAACCTTGAAATATGGTTTCTATTAAATGTCTATTGATTTTGCATCATTGTAAAGTTGAAAAATCATGCGTCGAACCATCATAAGTTGGGAACGATCTGTATACCAATATATAACACTGATGATAAAGAAAATGAAAGTGGGTATACTGCTATCAGATAAAATAGATTTCAGAGCAAAAGAACATTATAAGGGATAAAGAAAGTTATTTCCTAATAATAAAGGGGTTAAATTATCCAGACATAATAATCCTAAATATTTAGTACCCAATAACAGTGCTATAAAACATAACAAGTAAAAACTGACAACTTCAAGGAGAATTAGAACATTACCAGAAGATTACATTCCTCTCTCAAAAACAGAACAAACAGAAGTTTAGTAGGGATGAAAACTCTTGAATAACACTATAAACAGTTTGACTTAATGGACATTTCTAAAACATTTTGGCCAACATCAGCAGAATGTACATTCTTTGCAAATGCACACAGAACATTAGACCATATTCTAGAATATAAGTCTCAATAAATTGAAAAGGATTTCAAGCCATACAACATATATTCTCTAACTAGAATAGAATTAAATTAGAAATTAATAGAAAGATATGTGGAAAATTCCCCAATTTTTGGAAACCATATGGCACACACCTCTAAATAATTCATGGGTCAAAGAACAAATCAAAATGGAATTCAGAAGTATTCTGAACTAAATGAAAATGAACACATTTAATTTCTGGAGGGTTTCTAAAGCAATACTTAGGAAGAAATTAATATCACTAAATGCCTATATTACAAAGAAACAAGCCTCAACTCAATGACCTTAACTTTCATTTTAAGAAACTAGAAAAAGATGAACAAGTTTTATGGAAGTAGAAAAAAGAAAATAATAAAGATGAATGGAAATCATTGAAGTAAAAAACAAAAACAAAAAAGCAAGAATATTAATGAAACCTAGTTCTTTGATAAGATCAATAAAAAAGATTTTATTTTTAAAGATTTTTATTTATTTATTTGACAGAGAGAGAGAGACATTGAGAGAGGGAATACAAGCAGTGGGAGTGGGAGAGGGAGAAGCAGGTTTTCCTCTAAGCAGGGAGCCTGATGGATGTGGGCTTTGATCCCAGGACCCTGGGATCATGACCTGAACCAAAGGCAGATGCTTAACTGACTGAGCCACCCAGGTGCCCCAGGACAATAAAACTGATAAATCTCTAGGCAGACTGATCAGCAATAAAAGAGAACAGAAACAAATTGCCAATATCAGAAATGGGACAGATAATATCACTACAGATTCTACATATGATAAAAGGATAATAAGCAAATATTATGAACAATTTTAAAATAATAAACTTGACAACTGAGATAAAATGGACAAAGCCCTTGGAAGACACAAGCTACCAAAAAAATTTTCCCACTTCAGGCCCAGATAGTTTTACTAGGGTATTCTATCAAATACTTATGGAAGAAATAATAACAAATCTTTACCAAATCATCTAGAAAAATAAAAAAAGCAGGCAATATTTTATAACTTATTCACTGAGGTCAGCATTATTCTGATTCTAAAACCAGACAAAGACATTACATAGAAAGAAAACTATAGGCAATATCCCGACTATACATACACAGAAAGATTCTGAACAAAATTTTAATAAATCTAATCCAACAATATATAAAAGTGGTAACACACCATGAGGTAAGGTTTAATCTGAGGCTGGTTTAATATTCAAACATGAATTGATATAACTAATCATATTAAAAAACTATAAAAGAAAGCCACATAATCTAAATAGATATAGAAAAAGCATTTGACAAAACTAATATTCACTTCTGATAAAAATTCTCACCAAACTAGGAATAGAAAGGCACTTCCTCAACCTGATAAAAGGCATTTATAAAAAACCTACAGTTAACATCATATTTAGTGGCAAAAGACTGAATGCCTGCCTTCTAAAATCAGGGGCAAAGCCTGGAGAACAGCTCTCAATACTTCTATTCGGCATAGCTCTGGAAGTTCAAAGCAGTGCAATAAAGCAAGAAAAAGAAAAGACCACTGTTTTGGAAAGGAAGAATTAAAACTTCAATGACAGACAAGATGATTATGTAGAAAATCTAACAGCCTCTATAAAAAAGCTTTTATAATTAATATATGAGCTTAGCAAGTTTGCCAAATAGAAGATCCATGTACAAAAATCAACTATCATATACTATCAGTAAAAACAAAACAAAACACCATTTATAATAGCATCCAACTGCATACAACATTAGGGATAAATCTGATAAAGTGAAAGATGGGTATGTAGAAAACTACAAAATATTGCAGAGAGAAGTTAAAGACCTAAATAACTGTAGAGATACAATGAGTTCACAGATTCAAGGACTTAAAATAGTTTCATTAAGATGTCAATTCTTTCCAAATGGAATCCTAGTTAAAATTCCAGCAGAAATTTTTGTAGAACTCGTTACAAAACGATTTTAAAATTCACATGAAAATGCAAAAGATCCAGAATATTCAAAACAACTTTGAAAAAATAACAAAGTTGGAAGACAAACACTATCTGATTTCAAGAATTATTATAAAGTTACAGATCTGGGCTCTAGGTCTGGCTCTAACATGAATACTCAATGAGATGAATAGTAATGCAAGCCTGAAAACTCTGTATGTGTAGGACTTTTCTAAGAAAACCTAAAGAGGTCATTAGATATTTCCATTTAGAAGGTACAGTACCTAAAGGGAGAAATTAATTATTGCGTTTTTCTTGGTAAATAAAGCTCTGTGAAGGCATTCTTTCAACTAAAGTGTAACCAAAGGATTAACTACTTCTATATTATTACTACATCATATATAAAAATTATAATGGCCCTGGGAAGCATTATTTTTGGACATCATATCTGTATTTATATCTATATTTCAAACACCTACATTTCTACTCTAATCCTAATGGAGAAGACATATTAAAAATATCAGCATTAGGTCAGTAAGTAATTTACTTACAAAAATGAACTGGGATTGGAATTCTTCAGTACATGAGGAAGCACCAACAAGCTGGTGATTGTGGTTTGTGACTGGAAGGGTTTTGAGGGTGAAGTTTTTTCTACAATGAAGTTTTTCTCTTTTCTCCTGTTAAGTAGAGTTAATAAAAATCATTGTAGATACTTCTGTCCTTTTTAAAATTTTTATTCCTTCTTAACTTTGTGTAGTGGAATACAATATTTCTTTTCATGGAAACTGCTTGGAAAACTCAGTAAATTTTAAATTCCTTTGAGATTAGTTTTTTTTTAAAATACAAACTACTGTTTATTAAAAAATAATTTGCCATTCATACAATCCTCCAAATAACCTAGATAACCCCTCTCCCCATCCCCAACCCCAGGTCAAGAGAGAGGCAGGTACGGAGAGGCAGATTTGGTCTTAAGTGCTTAAGTTCACTCTCAAATTTTATTTTAAATTGTTTTCTGATAGTATGAACTCAGCTTATATAAAAGACAGCATTTTTAATATGAAATGGCTCTCATGTTTGTTTTAAGGATGTTACTGAAGTCTTGTCCACTAAGTCAGGCAATGTCTCCTTTAAGAGGTCTCAAGAGAAACATTCTTTTCATAGCTATTGCTGAAAAAAGTTTTGCTTCTCCTTAACAGAGAGCATGAATTTTAAGAAAACATATTGACAGTGCAATCCCGGTGACCCAATGTATTCTATTCTTCTTATAGGCCACTAGGAGACTAGAGCTGGTATTCTAGCATACGAACTAGGATGCATTATATGGTATTCTGTAGTGCATAGACCAATACTGCCTTTTAAAAATATATATAAAATCTTTTTACAGGCAATACTGGTCTACATATAACACAGCAACAAAGTATGAGTTTAATCTCTGGGATTAGTTCAAAGGAACTTCCTGAAAATAACCTTTTAGGGGTGAACTTTAGTTCACCTAGAAACAAATTTTCCTAAAAAAATAAGAGTGCTGTTGAGAAAGAATATGTCCTATCACTTCTTAAAGATATATTACTCATTAATAACAGTTAATATAGTGTGCTACTCTCTCAAAGATGAGACAGAAAAATCTAGAAATAGATCAGGTGGGTAAAAGGTTTTAGGAAAAAAAAGGCAGTCTAAATAAGTGGAGAAAACCTGGGGCACCTGGGTGGCTCAGTTGGTTAAGCATCCAGCTTTTGGTTTTAGCTCAGGTCATGATCTCAGGGTTGTGAGATCACAACCTCTGAGTTGTGAGGTTGAGAGCCTCTGGCTCTGTGCTCAGCAGGGAGTCTGCTTCTCTCTCTCTCTGCCCCTCCCCCCACCTCTCATGCGTGTGCATGCGCACCCATTCTCTTTCTCTTCTCAAATAAAATCTTCAAAAAAAAAAAAAATAAGTGAAGAAAGGCTATCGGGGTGCCTGGGTGGCTCAGTTGCTTAAGCATCTGCCTTTGGTTCATGTCATGATCTCGGGATCCTGGGATCAAGCCCTACATTGGGCTCTGTGCTTGGCAGGGAGTCTGCTTCTCCCTCTCACTCTCTGTGTTCTCCCTCTTTCTCTCTCAAATAAATAAATAAAATCTTAAAAAAAAACTAAACAAAAGCTCTAAATCATGTAAAAATGAACTAATTAAGAAAAAGTTATATCCTTTCTATAAAATAAGTCATGTTGAAATTCTAGCACTGAAAATTTATGTAAAAATGAAAATCCTTAGGCAGTAGAAAAAAATAGGGAATATTTATATTATCTTAAGGTGGGGAAGGCTAGAGGCTGAAAATTCAATAGAAAATATAGAATTGACTATTTAAAAGAGACATCTGAATTTTAAACAAAACAAAAAACCCAAACCAACCTGATAATTGTACTAAAAACAACAAAAAGTAACTGCAACTCAGAGGTCAGTTAAATAATCTGTATCTTCAATATGTAGTGTTTTTACACGTAATTTAGAAAAAGATGAAAATAGAAAAGGTCCTCAATAAGTAACTCACAAATTAAAAAATAGAAATGTCTAATAAATGCAGAGACCAAGATCCAAAAATAAATTACAACAAAATGTCATTTTTGCCAATCAATTTTAGCAAAGGTTAAAAACACAACTTACTCTGAGGACTAGGGTGGATGGATACTTTCATGCAAAGGTAATTAGGGAATAGATTGGTACAAGCTTTCTGGTGGGCCGGTGGGGATCTGTATCAAAAGCAAAGTGTTTTAGAATGTGTGTAACCTTTGATGCAAAATTTTATTTCTGGGAATTTAGTTTGAGACAATAAGGATATGTAAAAAGATTTGGCTAGAATAATGTTTATCACAGCACTGTTTAGAATAGTAAGTGATGATAACCTACATACAATAGTAATTGGTTCCATAAACTATTGTTCACACATAAATCAATTGCTACATGGTCACTAAATATGTTTCGTAAAACTGATACCACCAGGTACTGACAGGGATATAGAACCAGAGAACATTTATATGCAGATGGTGAGACTACAAATTGGCAAAACCACTTTGGAAAACGATGGCAGTATCTGCTCGAGCTGAACATACAGATCCCTAGGACCCAGCAGTTGCATTTCTAAGAAAATTGTATGTACACTTTGCAGAAATGTGAAACTACATGTACCCAAGGGCATGGACAAAAACACTCATAGCTGCATCATTCATAACAGACCTAAAGTGAGAACAACCTAAATGTTTATCAACAGTAGAAAGGCATAATTATAGTTTATTTAGATAATAGAATACTATATGGCAAAAAAATAAATGGACTACTATCACATACTAAACATGGATGAATCACACATACAAAATGTTGAGCTAAAGAAGTCAGAGGACATATTGACTTTATATAACAGTGATAAAAGTCAGGATACTATTTACCTTTGGAGGTATAGTGACTGGAAAAGAGCATGAAGGAGGCTTCTGGGGTGATGGTTAATATTTTATATCTTGGTTTAAAGGGATTTAATTCACTTTATGACAACTTATTGCTAGGTACACTTATGATGTGTGCACTTTCCATATGTCTATTTTAGTATAAAGTTTAGTTTAAAAAACTGATGTCTAGGGGCGCCTGGGTGACTCAGTGGGTTAAAGCCTCTGACTTCAGCTCAGGTCATGATCCCAGGGTCCTGGGATCGAGTCCCACCTGGGGAGCCTGCTTCCCCCTTTCTCTCTGCCTGCCTCTCAGCCTACTTGTGATCTCTGTCAAATAAACAAATAAAATCTTAAAAAAACAAAACAAAAAACTGAGGTCTCTATGTTTCTGTTAAAAGTTATCATCTGTAGATGTGCAACACAATTGAGTGGGATGCTTGTTAAAATGTGCAGCTTTCTGGACTCTAGCCCAAACTTAGTGAATCGAATTCTCTGGGCAACAGGATTGTCCACTTTATTTTTTAAAGATTTATGTATTTTAGAGGGAGAGAGTGTGAGCAGGGGGAGTGGCAGAGGGAGAGAATCTTCAAGTAGACTCTTTGCTGAGCATGGAGCCCTACGCAGGGCTCGATCTCATGACCCAGAGATCATGACCTGAGCCAAAACCAGGAGTAGGTTGCTCAGTATACTGAGCCATGCAGATGCCCCGGTTTCCCATTTTAAACAAGCTCCTTGGATAATTCTTATGTAGACTAAAGTCTGAAAGCCATTGTTATGGAAAAATATTTAGTATCATGGAAAGCAGTAGTTCACAGTGGACTCTGGAGCCAAAATGACTGGGTTCTAATCCAGCCTCTGCCATTTAATAGCTATGTAACCCTGGGGAAAGTATTTCAGCTCTCTGGACCTATGTTTCTTCAAGTAGTACAATGAGAATAATAATAGTATTTATTTCACATGGTTGTTAAGAGGACTAAATGAGTTTACAAATAAGGTGCTTAGAATAGTGCTTGGCACATAGTAAACACTATATAAATGCTGGGATGAAAAAGAGAGAGAGAGAGAGACAGACAGATGGAAGCAAATTAAGAAAAGGATATACAGTTGATTCTCGAACAATGCAGGGTTAAGGGCACCAACTCCCCCGCATAGTTGAAAATCTGTGTATAATTTTTGACTCTCCCAAAACTTAACTACCTACTAGTTTGTAGACTGGAAGCCTTACTGACAACACAAATACTTGACTAACACATATTTTGCATATGTCTTCTATGCTGTATTCTTACCATAAAGTAAACTAGAGAAAATGTTATTAAAATCCTAAGGAAGAAAAAAATACATTTATAGTACTGTATTTATTTATTGAAAAAAAAATCTGTGTATAAGGGGACCCATGCATTCAAACTCTGTTGTTCCAGGTTCAAACCTATAGTGTAATTATATTTTTGTAAGAATATATATAGATGAATTTATATACAAACATACATAAACAAATGACTGGAAAGATACACATTGAAGTGTTAAAAGTTATTACCTCTGGATTATATGACTATTGTTAATTTTTTTGTACTTTTTTTTTTAAACAGTAGGTTCCACGCCCAATATGGGCCTTGAACTCAGGACCCTGAGATTAAGAGTCACATGCTCTACCAACTAAGCCAGTTGGGTGCCCCGATGATTGTTAATTTCTATTGTCTTTTTGCTTGCATCATTTAATTTCCCATAATGAAAAACTTTGTTATAAGGATATAGTTTTTGGAAGTTAGTATTATGGTTTATTTGATTATGCATTTCTTAAGATTCTCAACATTAAAGCTAGAAAAGCAAGAAAAACCGTGCCAACAAATTGTACACATGATATTGTACAGGTGTCAACACGGGAGAGAGTGAGGCAGTCTCTACTTGATCACGCAAGCACTGGAAGATGACCCAGTAAAGACGGGTATAGTGGTCAACACCATATAGGAGCAGGCATACTTGTGCATTATAGATCTTCCTTACCTTATGATGGGGTTATGGAAATTTAAAATATTGTAAATTGAAAAGGCATTTGATACACCTAACCTACTGAATATAATAGTTAGCCTCACTTACCATAAACATATGCTCACAACACTTACAGTAGCCTTCAGTTGAGCAAAGTGATCTAACACAAAGACTCTTTTATTTTTTATTTTATGTTTTTTTAGAGAGAGAGAGCAAGAGTGAGAGCAGAGAGGAAGGGGAGAGGGAGGAGGAGACTCTTAAGCAGGCTCCATGCCCAGCATGGAGTCTAACACACGGCTCGATCTCAAGACCCTGAGATCATGACATGAGCAGAAGAGTTGGACACTTAACCAACTGAGCCCCTAGGTGTCCCAAGCCTATTTTATAATGAAGTGTTGATATCTCATGTGATTACTGAATACTGTACTGAAACTGGAAAACAGACTGGTTGTAGAGGTACAGAACAGTTGTTAGTGTATTGGTTGTTTACCCTTGTGGCCACGTGGCTGCAGCTCATTCCCCCTGCCCAGCATCATAGGAGTATGGTAGTGTATACTGCATATCATTAGCCCGGAAAAAGATGAAAATTAAAAATTCAAAGTATGGTTTCTACTGAATGGATACTGCTTTTGCATCATCATAAAGTGGAAAAATTGTAAGACAAAGACCATCTGTACTTCCTGTTTCCATGTTTTGGGAAGGAGGTAATTTCGATGGAAGTTCATTACTGTTGTTCCAGGACCCACAGGCTCTCCCTGAATTTTCTACGCTGGAATCAGTTACTCTATGGTTTCTAGAACCACTTTACCACATATTAAGAGAGATACTGAAGGCAAGGCAGTCAATCTATAACACTAATACCACTGAGAAAAAACACAAAATTCAACTAGATTTTACTTATACAATCCTTTTATTTTCTTTTTCTTACCTTTTCTCTCCTTTCATTCTCCTGTTCTCATCTCTTTTGCTCTTCTTCTTTTTAGTTCTACCTAGGCTTTAAGCTTGAATGTATGTGGCTCTAAAAGTATACTTTGGTCCTGTTAGTGGCTCTGCTCTTGACTTTTGCTCCAGTGTGAGGAGGACTGGCAACTTGGAACTTCAGTTCAACCCTCTTATTTTCCTCCATTGTTTAGATACAAATCCTGAATTATGTTAACTCCTAAGTCAGTCTCCTTCACCAGATCTTAGGAACATACAAATATTTCTGAGTGGCTACTGGTAAAATATTCCTACTATATGTTATAAAAGCTGAAGCAGTAAAAACTCAAAAATGGACTTCAGAGGAACAAGCAAACAATTAAAAATCTTAGCCTCAGTAGTAAAGGTTCTTCAATAGTACCATAAAAAATGAGTAATGATGGTAAGCAGTGTCTCATAAACAAACCTGTAAGTGAGACGGGGAATCAAAGATAGAAGGTATGACTCCAGGTTTCAGTTTAATATTTGGAGCACTTCTGTCAAAATCTGTCTTCTTAAAGTGCCTTGAACACAACACATCTCCTTTTTTAGGCTCCCAAATGCCTGCAGCATTTACATCAAGCCTTTTCATTGCTAATACCCATTTTCTTTTGACGTTTTCATCTGTGGGGAATCTAGAAAAAAAATACAGCAAGTATTTTAAAATTGGAACACTACTGATAGATACTTGAATTAAGGCTGTGACTAAATTGGCTCATTGAAGAGTTTGTTATTATTCTTGAGAAATGGAATATTCAGGAAGCCCTTATGAATCATGCTTTCAGAACTTTCAGTTTTAATAGATTTTTCTATTAATCATGCTGCAGACATATGGCCCCTATTTCAATTTTCTTCATATTATAAAGAAGAAAAGTTTCAATGAATATTTCAGTCTTATATGGGAAGACCCATGACTGGAGGTTTTTCTTCATCTATACATGATAATACCACTTGTGCCTTTTCCCATGTGAAGTGATATCCAGAATTTATCCCAGATGAATGGAGTACTTTGTATTTTCATTCTTCTGTTAGCATCAGAAAGTTGTTTAGTATAGCATTTAATACACAACAGGTCTATCAATGCTTAGTGAACGAGGCGACGAACTGCTGCTGTTTGGAATTCCAGAGATAAGAACTATTTTGAGATCTGGAAATCAATAACCGTATCTTTTCAGTTTTCCAAGCCGATTCAAATCTTTTTTAGAAAACGTAGGGTACACATACTCATTTTTTGTTTCTTCATACCTTGCAAAGTAGTTAACAGATCTTTCTCTAATACGTAGCACAGTGCCTCACACAAAAGCAGCAAAATAAACCTTTAGCAAATGAATAATTGTTAAACCTTATTATTCCTTTCCTTTGCTGTCAGAAGAATGGCTTAAAATAGAAAATCTGGATCATCTTGATTTATCTGTAGTACTGCTAAAGAACCCTTGGTCTGAGCTTGTAATTTATATTTTAGATCTACTTCTAAACAGAAAGGACAGGACATATTTGGGCAAAGATCCTTTCTTCCTACAGACTGTAAACTCCATGTAAACAAAACTGAATTTCTTTGAAGGTATGTTAAAATGCAAAGTAATAACATTAGCAAGAATGAGATACCTTGGCAGGTATCTTAAACTTTTCAACTAAATTATAAAAATGTAAATAGATCCCTGTCACTTCAAACTTAGCTAAAAAAGCGATTTACAGATTTGGGAACTACAGATCAAAGCTGAAGATTTAAGTGGAACTGTCATTGGCTTTTTATAACCGTCAAAAGTACTTGGCTTAACTACAGCAAAATCTTACACGTGAAATGTCAGTCCTTTTAACTTGGAATTGGGCAAACAGCGCGAAGCACATCCAATGGCCGAGCAACATTTCACCATGATTTTAGCAACTCATAACAGAACTGAAAGAAAATTAAAACGGTAAGAGTTAGTAACTTCCAAGCTAAGGGCAACATATTTACTTTTCCCAGCATGTGTTAGGTACTGTGAAATCTCGCTAGAAAGCCAAAGCCAAATATTTTCTGGCAGCTTTAAAAATTTTCCAGGGGCTTGGCCCTTTATAAGGCAAAGCGTATCGCACTCCGCCCTCCGAGGGGTCTGGCTCTATCCCGCGCGGTCTTGTACATTTCCCTTTCGTGGCTTCTTGCAGGCACCAGGTCACAAGGCCTTTGCACACTCACTCACTCCTCCTCATCTTTTGGCTTCGTGTTGCTTCCCCAGGGAAGCCTTCCTTGACGCTCAGATGAAATCAGAGCCCATCTAGCACTAGCTCTCCTCGAACAAACACTTCTTCCCGGCACTTCTCAAAGTCGCAATCTTGCTACAGTGATTCTCTGATTAATGTCTCTCTCCTTCACCAGCCCGTGAGTTCCAGGAGGGCATGGTGGGGCGTGTGTTTTTTCTCACTTTTTGGCCCCATGCTTAACTGGTAACTGGTAAACAGTAAACGTCAACGCATAGTTTGAAGGAATGAAGGACGAGTAAAAGCAGCAACAGGTCGAGGGCCGGCGAGCAGCGACAGCCTGCGCAGGTGCCCGCCCAGAGCCCAGGGGCCTGCGGAGCTCCGCCCCTTTCTCGAGGCTCCGGGCCGCCGCAGGGAGAAAGGGAGGGGCCGCCCTGTCACAAGTGCGGAGGCGGCCGGAGAGCGTCCCTTTTTTCAGGGGGCTACCGGGCGTCTCCGCGCCGCTACGGTCCACCTCGCCCCGAACCACGCCCAAGGTTTGGGCGAGTGGCGATCGAGGGTGGGAGGGGGAGAAGAAGCAACCTAAGAGTTATTACCGTTAGCGGCGAAGTCAGCGACTAACGTCGACGACAAAGATTGCGCTTCCCTTCACTTCCGCCCCGTCGTCCCGGGAACCGGAAATCCGGCTGCCCCGCGTCACGTGCTCGGCCGCCATATTGGCTCGGCTGGCCGCTGCGGTCGGTAGGGGGCGGTGTGCTCGTGACGCTACTTCTCTGGGCGTGGTTTTCGTCCTGCGGAGAGGGTTCGTGGAGTTTGAGGGGAGGTGGCAGAGATGGCGGCCTCGGCGCGGGAAGATGGCGCCCGCGGCCCAAAGCAAGGGCGACGGGGCTGCGAGCACTATGACAGAGGATGTCTCCTGAAGGTGACTACTTCAGTGGGCTCTTCCCTTACAAGCTTCCGCGGGACCGGGTGGGGAGGGAGCGGAGTGGGCAAGGCGGTTAGGCTTGGGCTTAAGTTAGAGGCTAAGCTGTTTGTCGGTCTACCTTCTCCACCTCGAGTTGGGTTCTTGCTGTGGAGAATGTTTTGGCAAGGCGACCGCAGGTCCCCACCTTTCCCCCTGCTTTACACTTCGTGAGCAAAGCTCTCTGCTCGGGGAAGAACGTGGGCTTGCACATCGCTCACTTCATCAGTGCGTTTCTGTAGTGTTTTGCTACGGTAAGTAGACTGAGGCAGCCCCGGGCCTGGGCTGGCTTCCGGCCAGGGTGACTTTCAGGTGTGCGATGAAGTAATGGAAGACGGAGAAGTGAGTGGAGAATCGGAATAGGATTTCAGCTCCTTAGTGAGTAAGTTGTACAGCTCGCCAGCTGCATTTTAGAGTCAATGAGTATGTCGAAGCCCGCCAGGAGAATGTTTCTGTGGACTAGGAAGACCGCCATGGAATTGCCACTAGATAGATTATGTGTAGCAAAGTGCCCAGTATGCATATATTGTTATTTTTGCTGTTTACTTTGAGGAAAATTGCTAGTCAGTCTAGAGCATTGTAACTTGCCACCCGTTCAGTTAAAGTTTCCTGATTTTGTTGTTGCTGCAAGAAGCAATTTAAAGATTTTACTTAGAGGGTTTGAGCTTTGGAGTCCCACAGCCCTATCCCCACATCTAGCTCTGACCCTTGATAGGTCAGTGCTTTTGAGCAAGTGCTCCATTTGTGAAGTAGGGGTGACAGAAGTTCCTGTTTCATTTAAAAAGAAAGAAAGAAAGAAAGAAAAACAACAACAAAAAAGGATGAGGCCTGTAAGGACACTTAGAGCCTTCTTTTTAGGCCAGCCTTGGTGAACATTCCTCCACTGCACTGGGTGAAGCTCTTTCAAGGTTAGGGGTTCCCCAAGTGTTGTGTAAGCAAACTGAATGCTGTCCTTACGATTCCATTTCCACTGATATGTTTTGTTACTCTTTGAAACTCAATAACAGGAGCTGAATTCAACACGTTGGCCCTTTCCCCCAGGAAACCACATAAATGTGTCTGTGTTTCATAGTGCTGAGATATTTGACCCTGAGTATCAAATACTTTTTTGCCTTCCCCCTCCTTCTTCCTTGAATACCAGAAGCCAAATGAAGAGTTTTAAGGAGGAAGTAATCAACTAAATCAAATGCTGCAGTTTGAGTAAGATAAGAAGTGAAAATTGACCTTTACATTTGGCAAGGAGGTCACTGGTGATCTTGACAAGAGACGTTTCAGTGGAGAGATTGGGACAAAGCCTGATGGGAGTGGATTTGAGAGAGATTGAGAGTAGTGGAACTGCAAGTAGCCTTCATAGACAAGTCGTGGAGTTTTGCTGTAAAAGAGAGCAAAAAAAAAAAAAAAGTCTAGTTGCTGAGAGATGTGGGATCATGAGATTTTTTTCCCTTTAAAATTGGAGGTATTACAGCATGTTCGCATATTGGAAATAACCCAGTGAGAATTTTTTTTTTTTTTAAAGATTTTGTTTATTTATAAGAGAGAGTGCAAGTGCACAAGCAGGAGGAGGTGCAGGCAGAGGAAGAAGCTTCCCGCTGAGCAAGGAGCCTTCTGCAGCACTCCATTGGAGGACCCTGGGATCATTGTCTGAGCCGAAGACAGGCACTTAACTGACTGAGCCACTCAGGTGTCCCATGAAGTGAGAACATTTTATAATGCAGGAGGGAAAGAAAAAACTGTAGAAGCATTTGCTGCTCTTACGTAATCAAAGAAAAGATGGGATCCAGTGTAGAAGTGGAGGAGTTGGCCTTAGAGAAAAATATATAACAGAAAGGAAGATGGAGTACTAGGTACATTTGCAAGTAGGTTGATAGAGTTTGTGAGAAAATGTTTTCTTTGATTTTTTCTGTTTAATAAGATAATGAGCAGAGTGTAAGGGTGGAGGAAAGGTTTAAAGAGAGAAGATGTGAAATAATCATTTAGATTTTAGGTCCTAGACTGTAGAAAAATGAGGGAATCGACTAGGGCAATATAATAAAAACCCACTTTTTTTTTTTTTTAAAGATTTTTATTTATTTATTTGACAGATAGAGATCACAAGTAGGCAGAGAGATAGGCAGAAAGAGAGGGGGAATTAGACTTCTCACCGAGTGGAGAGCCTGATGCGGGGCTCGATCCCAGGACCCTGGGATCATGACCTGAGCCGAAGGCAGAGGTTTTAACCCACTGAGCCACCCAGGCGCCCCAAAACTCACTTTTTAATTAGTGATCATGACTTAAAAATGAGACTAGTGTGAAAATTCTTATTCAGCTGTGTCTGCCTATTCCTATACAGGAGAGAATTGGATTTAACCAGACTTGGGGTTTTGGTTGGGAGAGTATTGTAGAGGAAGAGAGAAGGAAAGAATTAGAATATGTGCAAGGGAAGCATTGAAGTGAGTTGGAAAGAGGGGGGGGGTAGTGGTTAGAGGATTTCATACTTGAACTTACGATACAAACAAGATTTAGTTCTTGTTTTAGAGCATGGTTCTCAAAGTGTGGTGAATGGACACCCCCCCCCCCCGTGATTCCTGAGGCACTTTCAGGGGATCCTTGGGGTCAAAACTACTTTCTAATACTAAGATTTTGTCTTTTTCAGTGTGTGCAAAAGCAGTTATTAAAACTGCTGGCATCTGACCTGTACTATACCTATAGTTTAAAAAAGAAGTTTCACTTAAGGCTGTCATTGATAAAACTAAAGCAATAAAGTTACTAATTTTGTAAAAATCTCAGCTCTCAAATATGTCTTTTTACATGTTTGATGAAATGGAATGTTTTCATCAAGCACTTCTGCATACTAAAATTAGATGGTTGTTGTGAGGAAAGTTCTTATGCAGTTGGATTGTGAACTGAACTAGTTTCTCATGTAACAGTTTTTACTTGAAATCTTGTTATTTAGACTTGAGTATTTGGTGGGCACTTTCTTGAAAAGTGAACCATTGAAAAGAAACTGTCATTACAAGGAAAACAATTGACGGTGGTAAAATTCAACCTTTCACATAAAAATTAGAATTTTGAAACACTTGTATGAGCTTCTGTAAGCTTAAAAGTGTCCCAATACCTAAAGACTTTGCTGATGAGATTGGTAGTGATGTTAACAAATAATGATTTTTTTTTTTTTTTTTATATTGCATGGAAAATGTGTGAACATTTGGAATACCTGTAGAACTCAGTGCACTGATATTTTCCTAATGACTAATGGGTGGGTAAAAGGTTGATTCAAAGTGCAGGATAGATCAGAGGATTTTGATGCAACAGAGGGAGAAAAGTTCATCAGTACAATTTCAGAGCCCATGTTACAACTGATCATTTTTAAAACTTGTCAAGTTTTGGTGTAGTATCAGAGAAGAGTATCCATAATTCTCTGTAAAGTCTATCAAAATACTCCTCCCTTTTCCAACTATATATTTGTGGGAGTCCAAACTTTCTTCATATACTTCATCTAAACCAATTGAATACGGAAGTTGAAGCAGAAATGAGAATCCAGCTATTTTGGGGGAAACTAGCTATTTTTCATTAAAATATGTCATTTACATTAACATGTAATGGGTTTGTTACTATTTTTTTTTTTTAATATTTATTTATTTGACAGACAGAGATCACAAGTAGGCAGAGAGGCAGGCAGAGAGAGAGGGGGAAGCAGGCTCCCCGCTGAGCAGAGAGCCTGATGCGGGGCTGGATCCCAGGACCCTGAGATCGTGACCTGAGCCAAAGGCAGAGGTTTCAACCCACTGAGCCACCCAGGTGCCCCGGTTTGTTACTATTTTTAAAAGAAGTAATATTTTAAAAACCTTTTCAGTTTTATTTTATATTATGGTGTCAGAGATAATTCACATAATCAGAAGCTCTTTGAGATCCTCAACAATTTTTTTTTTTTTTAATTTATTTGGCAGACAGAGATCACAAGTAGGCAGAGAGGCAGGCAGAGAGAGAGGAGTAAGCAGGCTCCCTACTGAGCAGAGAGCCCGACACGGGACTCTATCCCAGGACCCTGAGATCATGACCTGAGCTGAAGGCAGAGGCTTAACCCACTGAGCCACCCAGGCGCACCTCCTCAACAATGTTTAAGAGTGTAAAAGGGTCCTGAGACCAAAACATTTGGGAACCCCTATTCTGTGGTATGACTGTGAGAATATTTGGCTGAGTAGGGTTGAAGGACGAGGCCATTGGAAGTGAGAAAGTCAAGGAATTGAGGGTGGTTGTGCAGATCACTAAGATTTAGGATGAGAATAGTGTTGGGAGAGAAAGGGTACTAGTTGAGTGTTAAAATCTTTAAGGAATGAACTCTGTTGTGCTAAATCATCATAAGAAATCTTCAGAAATGAGTGAATTTGGAAGGTCACAGTATACTGGAAAGTACTGGGTTAACTTACTGCTTAGAAACTTCTTGAGGTACTAGTTAGAATAAAGCTAAGCTACTAAGGGTAACCTAACAGTTTCAAGGTGAATTATCCAGTTTGGCGATGAGACTGATCCACATCATCACTCCAGGGACAAGTTTTTCCCATTGTATTATTTTGCCATGTTTTAGGGCATACAGTCATCAGCTGGGTTGCTGTCATGTCCAGGTTTCATCTGATGGAAAAGGGAAAGGGAGCATGGAGGAGGAGGCGTGCCCAGTTTCTTAATACTCAGGCCCAGGAGTGGCACTGATTTCTTCTGCTCATTTCCTTTTGGTAAGAACTTAGTCATTTGACCACAGCTGAAATCAAAGAAGTCTGGGAACTGTAGTATAGCTGGGCAATCATGTGTCCAAGAAGAAGGAGAGAAAAGATTTTGGCAGTCTGCCACTCTTGAAAACAAGGGCTATCCCTTAAATTTATTCTGCCTTCTAAAATATCAAGGATATAGCTGATGATTAATAAACACGAGTGAATTAAAATATAATCTTTATTATAGTTAATGTTTAAAGGTTGAAGTAGGTAAATGACTTTATCTGGAAATGTCTCAGAAGAAGTTGCCTGCCTGCCGTTTAGGCTGAGGATGAGTTTAGGGTGTTGTGTGATTAGTTCTGTCTGTGGGTGTCCATTCTTCATAATTCTTTAGTATTTAAGGACCAGATTATGTTAAACTTGAGGTAGATAGACATAGATGTTGAGGGGGAATAGTTAAAATATGCTAAGAAATAGTGAAAAGTTATGTTGAGGATCAGTTTACAAACCGATTGATTGGTTGTATTCTTTGACTTTATTCCAGGAGGAGGAAGAAAAATTTTTTTTGCATTGTAAACTTATCTTTTCTTATACCTCTTTTTCCCCCTGGGCATTAGGCACCTTGCTGTGACAGACTTTATACTTGTCGGTTGTGTCATGATAGCAATGAAGATCATCAGCTAGATCGCTTTAAAGTAAAGGAAGTGCAGTGCATAAACTGTGAAAAAATTCAGCACGTAAGATTTTATCATATTTCCGTTTTCTTTTTAAAAAATGTTAAGATGATTTACAAAACTGATCAAGAGTATGCAGATAAGACTTCTTTAACTCTAAGCAGTATCATTGGTTTAAATGTTTAAGACCTTGTAAGAATCTGCGTATATTGTAACAAATTGTGGATATTCAAATAATTATAGAAAATGTTTTGGAAAATTTAATTTAATTGTTAATTACATGTGTCTGTTTTAGGCCCAACAGACTTGCGAAGAATGTAGCACATTGTTTGGGGAATATTATTGCAGTATATGCCATCTCTTTGACAAAGACAAGAAACAGTATCATTGTGAAAACTGTGGAATTTGTAGGTACTGTATGTAAAATGTTCTTTTCTGATTATTTTTAATGTACCTGAGCAATAATAGTTTTTAAAATCTGTTTTGTTGGTGTATAATTTGCATCTAATAAAATGCATTCATTTTAAGTTTTCAGTTCAGTAAGTGTGACAAATAAATATAACCATGTTACTACCAACACGGTAAACATTAAAAACATTTCTGCTATTCTAAAAAAATTTTTCATGCCTCTTTTGTAGTAATAATTTAATTAGCCCAACAGTTATTGTGTGGCTATTTAAAAATTTAACTTTGGATATAAAGCATGCTTTTATATGAAGTGTTTTGTAGGCAACTGAAGTAGAAAATTAGGGTGGACTTTACTTTTTTAAAAATCAGTTTTTAAAAACATTTTCAAAGTATAGGCTGATTTTATAAAATTTGGAAAACATGAAAAAGTGGAAAGAACAAAAGAAACCTACAGTCTAGGGGCGCCTGGGTGGCGCAGTGGGTTAAGCCGCTGCCTTCGGCTCAGGTCATGATCTCAGGGTCCTGGGATCGAGCCCCGCATCGGGCTCTCTGCTTGGCAAGGAGCCTGCTTCCTCCTCTCTCTCTGCCTGCCTCTCTGCCTGCTTGTGATCTCTGTCTGTCAAATAAATAAATTAAAAAAAAAATTATAAAAAAAAAAAAAAAGAAACCTACAGTCTAGTCTCTCACTGATAAGCTACTATTAACATGCTGTATGTAGGAGTTTTTCTTTCTAAAAACCCTGAAATATTAGATACATACAAAAGCACATGCATAACATGTGTTATAAAGTATACTGATACAGAAAGTCACTCATTTTAAGAAATAGAATGTTACCAATACTGTTGAAGCTCCAAGTGTTCCACGTTAGTCTTTTCTCCTCTTTCCCATTGGAGATAACCACTGTCTTGAATATTTTAAATCACTTTCTAGCTTTTATGTAGTTTGTTTTTAAGGATGTATAACAAACATACCAAAAGATGCAGAAATCATAAACAAGCAACCTTAGGAGTTTATTTAGGAAAACGTTCTTTTTTTAATCACCACCCAGATCAAAAAGTGGTGTATGTTCATAGCAATGTAGCAGCCTCTCTTATGCCCCCTTCAAGTCAGTATACTCGTGCAAAGGTAACCACTCTACTGAATTTTGTAAATGGAATCATGTGGTATTTGCTTTTTTGCGTTTTTATATATTTTAAGGCAATATCATTCAGTGTTTACATAGATTTGTTCTATTTTCCTTTATGATTGACCCATTTGCCCTTATATAGTGTCTCTTTTTATCTTTAGCAATATTTCCTGCCTTAAGAGCTACTATATCTAGATCACCTTTCATTGATTGGTTTTTACATGTGTATCCATTCCTTTTCTTTTTTTATTCCAAACATTCTGTATACTTCTATTTAAGGCATGTATCTTGTAAGCAGAATATAGTTGAATTTTATTTTTTTACGGAGTTTGATGAAAACTCTTTTAATTAGGACATTGATTCTACTTATTAATATAATTGTTTAAATGTACATATAAATCTACAATGTACAATTTTCCAATTCAGTCTACAATTTTAGTATTTTTTTTATTCCCTTAGTATTTGTTTGTCCTTTTTTTCCCTCTTTGTTTGCCTTCTCTTGGATTAATCAGCAATGTAAATTTGTTAGAGATACATTCTTCTATTATTCTCTTAGCAGTTTTTTTAGAAATTTTAAGTTACATCCGTGTTTTACTAGCGAAATGCATTTATCATTTCTGGGCAGTGCAAGAACCTTAACTAAGAGGATTTACGTGCAGTTGTCATGTTTTTAGTGTGTATATTTAAAACTCTATAGACATTGTTTTGAACAGCTGATATTTTCTTAGGTTTACCTACATATTTACCATTTCTTTTGCTCTTCTTGCCTTCCTGCATCTCCTTTGTCTTCAGGATTATTTTCCTTCAGTTTCAAGAATTGTTTTCATTATTACTTTTAGTGAGGCTCTGGTGGTGACATATTGTCAGTTTTTTGTCTCTTTGAAAATGTCTTTGTTTTGCCTTCATTTGTAAGATTTTGGGGGGGGAGGGTTGTAGAATTACTTTCTTTCAGCCTGTTAAAGATACTCGGGTGCCATGGTTTCTGTTTCAGAGTCACCTAACAGGATTATTATTGCTTCTTTGAGGATAATCTGTCCTTTATCCCTCTCTCGATGTTTTCAAGTCATTGGTTTTTAGCAGTTTTTCCATGATGTGTCCAGGTTTGTAAAATATTTATCCGGCTTGCAGTTTGTAGAGTTTCTTGAATCTGTGGCTTGATGTCTTCGGTCAGTTTTGAAATATTCTTGGCCAGTGTCTCTTCAGATAATGTTTCTGCCCCCTGCTCTTGCCTCTCCTGAGACTCTAGGTTTAGACCTTTTCACTATGTCCCATACGTCTCTTAAATTTCTTTTCCTGTATTTATCTTTTTCTTTCCTTTCACGCTTAAATTGCATAGTTCCTACTGATTTATATTCCAGGTCTCTGTTGTACTGTGTTGAATCTAATATGGAATCTATTGAGTTTTTCATTTTAGGCTTTATTTTTCTTCTTAAAATTATAGAATTTATGTTTAATTCTCCCCCATCCTCTGTACCTTCCATTTTTCAGATGAAATTCTTCACCTTTTTTTCCCTTCAACATATTACTCACTGGTAATTGAATGGCAGTTGTCTGAGAAATCCACTGTCTTGATTACCTGTGGGTCAGTTCTGATTTCTGTTTTTCTTCCTTTGGTGTTTGGTTCTTTAGTCCTGCCTTTTGGCATGCTTGACACTTTTTTTAGTTGGTTGTTGGACAAAATTGTATAAGCTCCGTATGCTTTTTTTCCAAAGAGAATTTTCTTTTGGCAAGCAGTTAATTAGAGACAGATTCCATTTATCCAATTAAAGATTGAGATGATTAGTCCTGTTCGATTTTGTTTTCCCTAATACTCAGGCTCCTAGCACATGGTTCCTCATGGGACTTGACTTAAAGCCAGGGTTGGTTACCAAGGCATCTCTGGTGGTGGGTGGGACCTGGTCTCCAGATGTTTGCCTCCCTAGCAGAGAGATTGCCAGAGGGTTTACTTGGTTTCCTACCCCTTTACCTACTGCTTGCTGCTTGGCTCCTTAGCTTCTAATAGACTAGTGTGGACTCCAAGTTCCCCAAGGAAGAAGCAGGCTTTGCCTCAAGGTATTTCCTTCTCTCTGGGATGTTGACCCTTTAAGCCCTTAGTTGTTCTTTACTGCTATTAAAGGGCTTGTTTGTTTTCTTTGAATCTAGCCTCTGTAGTTGTCAGTGGGAGTTTTGGTCCTATACAGGCTACTTTTATCTTTGTGGAGTGGAAGTTTACAATATATGTTTAGGTTTGCTTATTTTTAAACTCACATTCTATTTATTCTTCTGTGGCTTTTTTTTTTTTTTTAAACAAAACCTTGTTTCTAGGGTTCATCCTGTTTGATTCATGAGCTCCAGTTCATTTTTACTGTTATATTGAGTTATTTTGTATGTCAGATCTGCACAGTTTTTAATTACCACTATTAAAGGAATCAACACATTTTATGGTTAATTTATTGACTTTCAAGTAGTTGAGACTGCAGAATAGGTAGACATCTCTTCTTACCCTATATATATTAAGCTTTATGAAATTAAGATGTTTTCAAATTCTAAATTCCTATACCTGGTAAATATTGAGATTTATGAGATCAAGGTATTTTCAGACTTTAAATTTGTATACCTGGGAGTGCCATGTATATAGTAGGTGTTTAGTAATGTGTAGGTTGTGTATCTTCAGCAAAATATTTTTAGTGTTATGATTTCAATCTGTTTATGAGGAAAATTTGTCATCAACATTTAGCATCTAAATATATTTTTAAATCCTTCTACAAATAACAGAATATTTTTTATTGTTTGTATAATTTATATATTTATTATGAATGACAAAGGTAGTGAAAAACAGCTTCATTAGAAATTTTAGTAAGAATTTAAATGTTGCAAATCTAAATTTTGATTCCATATTTTTCTAGTTCTGAAGGGATATGTACTAAATTTGGCAATACCTTTGAATGTAGCTATTTCCTGGTCATTTGTCATGCATAAATCTGACACATGTCCTTCTTGTAATAACTGATAGGTTTTAGATACAATTCTAGTAGGCTCTAGTTTGTAATTACTTTAATTTACAGGCTTGTAAATTTTTTCACGTCCTGCACTCATACCATCAAAAGATATTGATTGCAGATCTCAAGTACACTACTAATAGGTTCTGGCTTATCATTACTTCTGTTTATGCATTGTCAAATTCAGTGTTTTTGAAGCCTTTGAAAGCTCATAATTATATCTAAAGGTGACTATCCAGACTGGAATGAACTCATAAAGATAGCATACTCATTACATTAAATAAAATGCTCCTGAATTTAAAAAAAAAAAAAAAAAAGGTGACTATCTTTTTAGTTTCAATATAACAAAATTTTATTTACTTTTAGATTTATAAACACCTTATTTAGGATGATCAATCTTGTAATTTTTTTCACTTTTTACATCATCTGTTTTCTTCAAGATACTTTTTTTTTTTTTAAGATTTTTATTTGAGAGGGAGAGAGCAAGAGAGAGAGAGCGCGCACACATGGGGAGAGGGGCATCGGGAGAGGGAGAAGCTGATTCCTAGATGAGCCCGGAGCCCACTGAGGGGCTTGATCGAAGGATCCCAGGACCATGACCTGAGCTGAAGGCAGGAGCTTAAAGGACTGAGCCACCCAGGCACCTCCCTTCCACATACTTTATACACATACTTCCCTTTCAACATTTCTCCATTTAGGAGCCATACCACGTAAATTTTGGGGTATAAACTTTATAAAAGATGGAAGAGTGCTGTTACAACCTTTTAGCAAAATGGGATGGTCTAGTTTCATGTAACAAAATACTGTGAATTGAAGTCCCTCCTAGTGAATGACCAGGTGAGGAATCCATTTTTTTTTTTTTCCCCTTAGAAGTACATTGTTCAGGGGCACCTGGTTGGCTCAGTTGGTTGAACATCCAACTCTTGATTTTGGCTCAGGTCATGATTTCGGGGTCGTGAGATTGAGTCCCGCGTCAGGCTCCATGCTCAGCAGGAGTCTGCTGGAGATTCTTTCTCTCCCTCTTCCTTTGCCTCTCCCCCTATACTCAGTCACTTCTCACTCTCTCTCTAAAATAAAAATAAATCTTAAAAACAAACATTGTTCATTCATTTTCTTGTGAGGCCGTTCATCTAGTATGTGTTACAGACATGATTATGATCACTTCAGGTAGGTATTTTAGGTGGCATTGTGTCTGTTGTCATTGTTCAGAAATCCTTGGAACATCTTTGTACAGTTCTTTTTTTTTTTTTAAAGATTTTTTTTTATTTATTTATTTGACAGACAGATCACGAGTAGGCAGAGAGGCAGGCAGAGAGAGAGGAGGAGGCAGGCTCCCCGCTGAGCAGAGAGCCCGATGCGGGACTTGATCCCAGGACCCTGAGATCGTGACCTGAGCCGAAGGCAGAGGCTTTAACCACTGAGCCACCCAGGCGCCCCCATCTTTGTACAGTTCTTTCAGAGTGCCTATGGCACACTGAAAATTCACTCCCCTTGGGGATTTTCAGAGGTATTCATTTATTATTATTTTTTTAAAGCTTGCTAAAAGATACCGGGGGGTAGGGGTGCCTGGGTGGCTCAGTCGGTTAAGCATCCACCTCTCGATTTCGGCTCAGGTCGTGCTGTCAGAGCTATGAGATCAAGCCCTGTGTCAGACTCCCTGCTGGGTGTGGAGCCTGCTTAAAATTCTCTTTCTCCTTCTGCCACTCCCCCATTCCCTCTCCCTCTCTGAAAAAGATACTGGGAGCAAAATCTATTAAATAAGATTGGCAAACACTGTTTAGTCAGAAATGACATAGCCATTAGAAAATGTTAATTTTTTTAAACAATAAATATCAAAAGACAATTCAAAAATGTTTCTGCAATAGCAGTGTCATTGGAAACTCTTTACCCTTTCATGATGACATTTAAAAAAAATGTCATTTGAGTGTATGAATTATTAAATTTTTGCTTAAATATCAGTCTTTTTTATTTTATAGTTGAACCTTCTTTGATATTCTTTTACAACGAGTCCCCTTTTGGATATTAACGACAACTTTTTTGTCTTAAGTATATTATGAAACGTAGTTATTGCTTTTAGTCCATTTAAGAAATCTGCAAAGTAAAGGTGATCAGATTTCTCCTGCTGGTGCTTGGTACTTACAACACCGCTAAGCTTGACTCTGGTCTCTGGGCTTGAAAATTATTGTCTTAATGCAATAATCACTGTAAGGAAATCAGTGCTTCTTACGAGTTTAGTAAGAATATTAATCCTGATTTTATATTTTAAAATAGCTCCATCATAGTTAGATAATCTTTTGACTGTGGCGGTTATTCTCTCAAAGAGTGACATGCCCTAAAAACAGGGTTTCACTTTTTCCTTAATTAGAGGCAGACATCCAACACTGAATTTTTTGGCAATGGGTGCATATATCCTTACTGAAGTGTGCTAGAATGAGCTTGTTTTCTTTCTTTTTTTTTTTTTTTTTAAATGGGGAAATATAATTTCTTATTGTTATTAAATAAGCGCCAGGATACTTACCATGAGAGTATGATATGGCAAATGTGGTTTTGGTGTTCTCATTTCTTCTCTTAAAAAATGTTTCAGCCCTTTGACTGTATAATTCCATTTTTATTTTTATTTATTTATTTTTTTTAAAGATTTTATTTATTTATTTGACAGACAGAGATTACAAGTAGGCAGAGAGGAAGTCAGAGAGAGAAGGAAGCAGGCTCCCCGCTGAGCAGAGAGCCCGATGTGGGGCTCGATCCCAGGACCCTGGGATCATGACCTGAGCTGAAGGCAGAGGCTTTAACCCACTGAGCCACCCAGGTGCCCCTATAATTCCATTTTTAGATTATCCCAAGGAAATAGAGTTATGTACCAAGAATTATGTGTAGAATATGTCTTGTACCAGTAAATATATAACAAAAATATAATAATGAAAATTGAGAACCAACCTGTATGTTGGAAGATTGTAAAATTTGCAAGCCCATATTAAAAGTAAGTTCTTGAATAATATTTAGGGATTGGGAGAATGATTTGTACAAAATGTCTGTCAGGATATCATACATACCAAAATATTAGCTGTAGTTACCTATGAGTGGCGGTATCATAATTGATGTTTGTTATTTTTTGGTATATTTGTTGGTTCATGTTCTTCTGGGTTTTACACATTTTTTTTTTAAGATTTTATTTGAGAAAGATAGAGTGCATGCACGCATGCACGAGTGGTGAGAGGGAGAAGCATATTCTCCTCTGAGCAGGGAGCTTCATGTGGAGCTTGATCCCAGGACCCTGGGATCATGGCTGTGCTGAAGGCACTTAACTGAGTCACCCAGGGGCCCTGGTTTTACACACTTTAAATAATGAATGCAGGGAGCTTGCCTCTCCTTCTCCCACTCTCCCTGCCTGTGATTTCTCTCTCTCACTGTGTCTCTTAATGTCAAATAAATAAATAAAATCTTAAAAAAAATAAAATGTATTTCCTGTCTCATAACCTAAGAAGTGCAAATTAAAATGTCTTTTATTTGTCTGTCATCTAGGTAAGCAGTGCTCACTAGGGTGTGGGGAGCACAGGTGTGGTCACACGTTGTTGGTGGGAGCACACTTCAGTATTCTCTTTGGAGGTCAGTTTGTCGGTATCAAGACCAGTGATGTAACACCCTCTGACCCCATAGTTTCAGTTTTAGAAATCTTGTAAAAATTTTCAACAGATGACTAAGTGACGTCTGTGTAAGCATATTGCTTGCTTGCTTGATTTTATTTTTATTTGTCAGAGAGAGAGAGAGCACAAGCAGGGGCAGAGGGAGAGGGAGAAGCAGGCTCCCTACTGGGCAGGGAGCCCGATGTGGGACTCAATCCCAGAATGCTGGGATCTTGACCTGAGCTGAAGGCAGACTTAACTGAGTGAGCCACCCAGGCATCACTGTATAAGCACATTTATTTTATGTCATTATATTAATTCAAGGTAGTAAATTATATATGGGAATACTTTCACAAATTATGATTTATCCATACCATGTAATACTATGTAATTCTGAAGAGGAATGAAGTGGTCTAGACAGAATAATCTTTAGGATATGTTCAGTGGAAAAAAGTCGCAGAACAGAATGTATAGAAAGAATCCATTTATATAAAAAATAAAACCCAAAGGGTGTGTGTGTGTGTGTGTGTGTGTGTGTGTGTGTGTGTGTTGTGTATACACTTTTATAGAAAAAACCTGGGTAGATACCATTCTGTTTATAGTGCTTACATTTGGGGAGTTGGGGAGTTACATTACAGGTGTTGGGGAGGTGGGGGTTTACCCCATGTTCTTCATTGTGAATTGAACTAACTTTATAGTGAAATTAAACTTATGTAAAAATGAGTAAATTACCATTGTAGTAAAAATGAACCTAATTTTTTTGGCTTTTACATAATTTTTAGGATTGGTCCAAAGGAAGACTTTTTCCACTGTGTGAAATGTAACTTATGCCTAGCTATGAATCTCCAAGGAAAGCACAAGGTATATACTTAAGTTTGCATAATTTAAAAAGTATTATATTGTGTTTGAAAACCAGCTTAAATCCTAATGTTTGGAAGCATGCTAATTTTCAGATATTACCAAGTACAACTATGTTGCTTTTTATTTTTGAGCAGTATTAAGTAGGTGTTCTAAGACCTGTGCCTCAGAATATCTGATCTACAATTCTTTTTCTTCTGTATTGTGTGTGTGTGTGTGTGTATTTAAGATATATTTATTTATTTTAAGAGAGCACATGAGCAGAGGGAGGGGTAGAGGGAGGGGGAAGAATCTCAAGTAGACTCTGTGCTAAGCACAGGGCTCGACATGGGGCTCAATTCCAGGCTTGATCCCAGAACCCTGAGATCATGACCTGAACCAAAATCAGGAGTTGGGTGCTTAAGTGAGCCACCCAGGCTCCCTATAGTGTGTAAGAATACTTTTATCAGTTACTAGCATAATGTTGACAACTTCTAAGTGAGTTTATGGATTCGTCTCATTGGTACTGGTGTTAAGAATAACTAAAAATCGGGACGCCTAGGTGGCTCAGTTGGTTGAGCAGCTGCCTTCGGCTCAGGTCATGATCCCAGCGTCCTGGGATTGAGTCCCGCATCGGGCTCCTTGCTCTGCGGGGAGCCTGCTTCTCCCTCTGCCTCTGCCTGCCATTCTGTCTGCCTGTGCTCGCTCTCTCTCCCTCTCTCTCTGACAAATAAAAAAAAAAAAACTTTAAAAAAAAAAAAAAAAAAAAAGAATAACTAAAAATGAGAGGCGCCTGGGTGGCTCATTTGGTTAAGCATCCGCCTTCAGCTCAGGTCATCATCCCAGGGTCCTGTGATTGAGCACTGCATTGGGCTGCTTGCTCAGCGGGGAGACGGCTTCTCCCTCTCCTTCTGCCACTCCCCCTGCTTGTGCTCTTTTGCTCTCTGTCAAATAAATAAATAAGAAATCTTAAAAAAAAAAGAATAACTAAAATTGCATAGTAAAGAAGCAATAACAATGTAACAGCATTTCAAGAAAATTCAGAAAATATTTTTATATTTCCTTTTGTAGTTAGAAATATTTTTAACTTTGGCTCTATTAATTATACCATGATACCAGAAAATGATTTTTCATTATTTAGAAAAAATCTTTAAAAAATCAGAGATTAGAGAGACTAATGAGGATTTTTTTCAATTAAGGTTTTTATTTTAATTCGATATAGTTAACATTAATGAGGATTTTTAAATAGATGCAGGCCTCAAATTGTCAGGTGTTAAGAGAAATTGAAATGAAAAATGAGTATTTGAGATATGGTGACAAGGTATAAGGGAAAAAGAATGGGGCTGAGTAAAGATGACTCGTAAGGTTTTTAAGCCCTTGTTTTAATGTATTTGATTAATAGACTGAATTTGCTGGAATTGAAAGATTTAGTTTGGTTTTATAAACTTGAGTTGGGGGATGGTAGCTGTGTGGTCTTCCAAAACTATATGTATGTTTTCTCTTATGGTATCTTTATTTGTTTGTCAGTTATTTTTTTATTGTCTGTATTTTAGTAAATGGTCCTATCATATACTCAAGTGCTCACTTAAAAAACCTGGGCATCTTCCATGGCGTGGTGCTTCCCCTTAACCTTCTCGCCTTTATTTATCCTGTCTTACCAAGTGAAGAGTTCTGGTACTGGCCAAGCCTCTTGGAGCTCAAATGCAGTTCCACATCTTATTAGTATGTGACTTTGGAAGTTACTGAGCCTTTTCTACGCCTCACATACCTCATAATAATTGGTATGTGAGGGTAATAATTGTGCCTGCATTTGTAGCAGGTAGACTGTGAGACATGGTTGAGCTAATACAGGTAGTGTACTTAGTATATGGCATGTAATAAATTTCAGTAATGTGAACTGTTACCATTGTCAGTGCCCTTAAGTAGCTTTGGAAGTACATGTAGATTCCAAACATTATCTCTGTGTTTTTGGTAAATCTTGATTCACTGATTTTCCTTATTTGTAAAATGAAGATAATTTGAACAATTAAGATGTATTGAGTAATTTCATTGTTTTAGGTAATATGCAAAGCCTGAAATAGCTGTATGAGTTAACTGTTCAGTTCTTGTCTGACATAGAAGAGACACGCGTTAATATTAATTATTAGCTTTAGTAAGTTAGTATCATTGTTTTATCATTAGTTTTTATTAATATGTACACTTGTTATTTCCATCTAGTTAAGATTTTAGTAATTTGAGTTTCTCTTTTAAACAGTGTATTGAAAATGTTTCCAGGCAGAATTGTCCAATATGTTTGGAGGTAAGCTTAAAATATTACTTGCTTTGGAAATATTCCCTCTTTTCTTTTTTTTAAATTACATTCAGTTTACTCTCCAGAAAACCCGAGGACATCTAAAGAGAGAGAAATAACATTCTCTTAACAAATGTCATGTTGAATTTGTAATAAAGGGGTGCCTGGCTGGCTCAGTCTGTGGAGATGCAAATCTTGATATCAGGGTCACGAGTTTAAGCCCCATGTTGGGCGTGGAGCCTACATAAAAAAATTATAGTAAATTCGGGAGTAGCAAATTTGTGAGGTGTTATTAACTTTAAAAGATACTCCGTCTTTTAAGATGAAATTTTTTAAAATTTAAATTCAGTTAATTAACATATAGTGTATTATTTGTTTTGGGGTACAGATCTGTGATTCATCTTATATAATACCCAGTCTTATATAATACCTGGTGCTCATTACATCACATACCCTCCCCAGTGTCCATCACCCAGTTACCCGTCTCTCTACCCTTCTGCCCTCCACCAACCCTCAGTTTGTTTCCTATGATTGAATTTCTTATCCCTCTCTGGTTTCATCTTATTTCATTTTTTTCATCTTTTCCCCTATGATCCTCTGCCTTGTTTCTTAAATTTCACATATCAGTGAGATCATATGATAGTTGTCTTTTTCTGGTTGACTTACTTCGCTTAGCATAATACCCTCTAGTTCCATCCACATCATTGCAAATGGCAAGGTTTTATTTTTTTGGAAATAGTCCCTCTTGAATTTAAAGTAGTGGAATGTTTATACTGTCTTCATGCAAACACTAACATTTATTTCCTTTATAGGACATTCACACATCCCGTGTTGTTGCTCATGTCTTGCCATGTGGACATCTTTTACATAGGTAAAATCATTTTTTTTCCCTCAGAAAATGTTTGAAAATAGTGGAGATGCTTTTTGCTTTACTAAAATAGTGTCATTTTTTTTTTTTTCAGAACGTGTTATGAAGAAATGTTGAAAGAGTGAGTGTTTGATGGAATTTTTAGAAGTTGTAGTTGTAAGATGTCTGATTTTTTTTTAACTTGTGCTGGGATGTGGAAGTGGGCAAATGTTGCTGCTACTTACACCTTATTGGCGTGGCAGATATCTTGAGACGGACAGGGTAAATCAATAGTGTTAAATAGGACAAAGCATCTTGTGGATATAGGAGTACATCTTTGTCCCCATGCTTGTGTTATGCCTGATCTCATCCTGCAACTTGCAAGAGCTACTTACTCTTTTTTGAGGGGGCACAGGCTCTGCCAAAGGCAATCCATAGAACTGTAAAAGTGCTGAGGCATGTCGTTCAAAATTCTGTTAAGTCATTATATTGGCCCAGGATAATCATCTGCAAAGAAAGCTGGTAACAAGATTATCTAAAGCAGAGACTTTATTGTGGGGGAAGGATGTTAAAATGAAGTGAGAACAGTTAGGAGAGAAGAGACTGTGTGAATGTATTTTGGTCCTGCAAATTCATAAGCAGAACTTGTAATTTAAGAGCCAGGTGGAAGTGAATTCTTCAGAATTTTTAGAAAGAATATGATACAGTCTGAATATATTAAGAAATTGAGGTTATTTAGCCAAAAAAAGCAACTGAACAGGTTTTTAAAAATGTGTTAAATATAGGAGTGCCTGGTTCACTCATTTGGAAGAGCATATGACTCTTGGTCTTGGGTTGTGAGATCGAGCCCCGTGTTGAGTGTAGAGATTACTTAAATAAAAAGCTTTATATAAAAAATGTATTAAATATATTCTACAGAGAATACAGACTAATTCCTTCCCACTTTAGAGAGTTGAGGATAAAGAAGGTCTAAAAAATACCATAGGTTACAGGATTTAATTAAAAACTACAGTGAAAGGTTCCCAGGTTTGTAACAGGTGATCTTGAAATACAGAATAATGCTCTGTTTGGATGGTTTGTGTACCGGTTAACATGCGTTACTTGTATAGCCGAGTTGATATAGTCCTTGTTTAATGTTTGGAAAATAACCTTTCTGTCTCTTCTAGAGGCTACAGATGTCCATTATGTATGCACTCTGCTTTAGATATGACTCGGTACTGGAGACAGCTGGATGATGAGGTGGCACAGACTCCCATGCCGTCAGAATACCAGAACATGACTGTGGATGTGAGCAGAATCAATGCTTAGAACTTTTGAGATTGCTGGTTGATGTTCTTGTTTTTTTTGCCGTTTTGCTCAAATCTGTCTCAAAAATACTGCTTTGGCATAGACACCAATGTGATGAAAGGACCAAATGATAGATTTTAGTTCCTTTGAATTCAAAAGACCAGACCAAAAAAATACTAAGAATACCTTTATGCAATTCTTCCCGACACTAGATGGCAGACAAAAACTTTATTCTGAATTATTTACATCTTACTCGTCAGAACCAGTCAGTAATGTAACTGAGTACAGGTGAATTACTGGTCTTACGTTTTATTTTAATGATGTTTTATTTGTAATTATTTTAAATTTTATTTCAGGCATACATATCTGTTGATTTTTAAAGATTACTTTTGTTTTTTAATGTTCATTACCCTTTTTATTCATGTGGATAATTGAATTGCTAGTAAAGTCAGTGAAGGATCACTTTTAAAATACTAATAAATTACGTGATGTTTTATGCAGGTTTCAGAGTGCTGTGTTCCATGTAGATCATTTTTTCAAATAACAGCTTTATTGAGATATACGTGCCATATAACTCATCCATTTAAAGTGTGCAATTTAGCACTATTTTTTTTTTAAAGATTTTATTTATTTATTTGACAGAGATCACAAGTAGGCAGAGAAGCAGGTAGAGAGAGAGGAGGAAGCAGGCTCCCTGCTAAGCAGGGAGCCCGATGCGGGGCTCGATCCCAGGACCCTGGGATCATGATCTGAGCTGAAGGCAGAGGCTTTAACCCACTGAGCCACCCAGGTGCCCCGAATTTAGCACTATTTAGTATATTCTTGGAGTTGTGCAAGCATCATCATCATCAATTTTAGGGTCTTTTTATTGCCCCCAGAAGAAATCCCATACCCATTAGCAGCCAGTCCCCAGTCCCCTAGTTCTAAGGCATCACTAATCTTTCTACATTCAGATTGTATTCTTAATTATTTTCCAGGTTACAATTTTGAGCAAATTTGGAAGTTTTCTATTTATTATGGTATGACTATTCTAAAGCTAATGCTTTTCTCACAGAGTAATGCGGTGATCTATTCTCAGGTTAACACCTTTTTTATTTTTTGGGATCTCAGTAGTAGAAGAGATTAATTCCCAAGTGACATCTTATTGTCATTTTAGGGATATGTCAAAAGCTTCTTTTTATTAAATTAGGAACGACTTTTTGGGACTTTAATTCATTCTTGAGGCATTAAGAACTTAGTATATTAAACCTAAAGAATAAGCAAAAATACTAAAATTTTGTAAAGATTTGTTTTATTAACAAAGATAATTTTACAGTGTCAAGGAAAAATAAATCATGTATGTTATTTTGAATTCTAAGTGTAGGTGTCAGTCAGATGATGCCTATGTTAGATTTTTTAGACTAACTGTTCCCAAATTTAGACTGTTTGGGAACAGTTTCAAAATAAGGCTTCTTGACTCAAACCTACACTTCCATTTCTGAATTCAGAGCTACCTTAATAGCCTCTTAGAGTTTTCAGAAAACAAATAAAAGGCATTTCTATTTAGGGAAATGTTTAGACTTAGCTATATATGTTTCAGTTCTTTGGTATGATTTTTGAGGAATTGTTTTGAGCAGACAGTGCCATTTTCTATCTATAAGGTTTAATACGCTTAATTTGAATTCATTTCTTCACTTTTCAGATTCTCTGCAATGATTGCAATGGGAGATCTACAGTCCAGTTCCATATATTAGGCATGAAATGTAATATTTGTGAATCCTACAATACTGCTCAAGCGGGAGGATGTAGAATTTCACTAGATCAGCAATGACCAGGGTATGCTGCATTGGAAAACTCAGCATTTTCTGATTAGAAAAAGGCTATCTTTAGTATTCTGTTGTCATAATGTGTCAGGATCTATGCATTAGAGTTGATGTGTTTTGTACTAGTGTCACAGCATAAAATCATATTACATGTACTTAAGGATTCAGGGTCTCTTTATAGAATTATCATAGCTTTATATTGGATGAAAGCCACTGTGCTTGTCTTTTGATTGGAGATTCCTTTAGTGTCAGTTGTTTGGAAGCCAATGATGTTTGCCACTGAAATTTACATCCATAGAAGTATATCATACTTCCATGGAACTTTGCTTTAAGTGACACTATGCACGAAGAGTTCATTTCTAGTTCTTCATAGAACTGCACTTATTTCTCAGTATTATTCTTGACTTTTTAAGGGCTGTGCTATAATGAGAAGATGTTCTGTCTTACTGTTGAAATCTTATTACATATACTTTAGAATTTTCTAAGGCAGTCCTTTGGATCCTGTAAATGTGAATTTTGATGTAATAACTGCTAATAAAATTATATTGAAACAGTGTTTTATGGAAAGTTTTTTCCAAGGTTATCTATTTTTGGCTCAACCTGGGCAATATAGTCATATGTATTTCTCTCTGTAAATACAAATACGCATACATATATATGTGTGTATATTTCTATGGAGAAATCTCTTCTTTTTTTTCTTTTGAGGTATTCTTCCATTAGAGTAGTTGGGAAATAAAATAATAGAACTTTTCCAAGCCTTAGGAAAAACCATCAACACTGAAAATAATTTTGTTTTGGTTTCCCAAAGTTATTCCCAAAATTATTCCTTGAAGGAATAATTCATTAGGTCAGCAAGTATTTAGTGAGTAACTACTATGTGCTGGGTAAGGTTCTAGATAGCTGTGGAGACAACAGTGAACAATATAGATAAAAGTCTATATGAGACTCGTGGCAAGACCCTCATGGTCTTGCCTCATTCCTCATATGCCTCATGACTAGCCTTTTCCTTGCCTTTTTTATGCACTAAGTGGTTGTCTTTGGTGTAAGTGGGTGGATTCTTTTTTCCCCAAAGTGCTTGGGAGTAGGCATGGGTGAGTGGAAGGGGCATGGAATATTCCTGGTAAGATCTCTGATTTTATAATACTTTTTTTGGGTTCATGTAATGGAGTTAAATACACCTCTTAATTCAAGAACAAAATACACAAAAATACTTTGATGGTGCTACAGCTTTTACAGTATCCAACTTAGCCTGTTTTATAAAGAGCTTTAGGTAAGGAAGTAAAATGTGTAGATACCAGTCGATGGGTATTTACTGAACACCATTTTTCTAATTTTGAGCTAGTTGATTTTCCTGCTAGGAAGGAAGTTAGTCTTAGAACTAGAAATCCTAACATTTCTGGTACATTTATTTCTTCTTTTGAAGTCTCTTTACCTGGATAAAGGCAATAGTATTGATTTACAGTTTTGGGCCCAGATGTTTATTCTCTTCTGCCTTCCTGTCTTCTGTCTTCTCCTCTTCTTGTGTTCTCTCCCTGTGTTGGTTTCCTTGGCCTAAGCAGAGCAGCAGTGCTGATCTTGATTTGGGGAAGGAATGTTCTTATCTTGCCAGGTGGTACCAATCTGTATACAGTTAAGGAAAGACTAATTTTCTAGTTGTACGACTTCTTATTTCCATTATCTCACCATGTTAAACTATTTTAAATCTTGTTACTTTTAATCACAGAATCACTGGATCTTGAGTAGGAGTGAGTGTATAAAGGTAACAAAGCTTCATGTTTTGAGAATCTACTGTGTGCCAGGCTTATGCATTAGTATTGAGCATCATGATAATTTTGTAGGTAAGTGTTGTCTTCAGTTTATAGATGAGAAAACTGAGGTTCATAGGTTACATGACCTGCTTGAGTAAATGATAGTTATTAAATGTTGGGAGCTGGGAATCACATTAGGTCTGTGACCCTGAACACTGTAGCACACCGCCTTTCACTCAGACTACCATTTTGTTCAACTACCTGTGTAATAGCTAAGTCCTCTACATAGAGGAGCTCATGATTTGATAGACTGTCCATTTTTAGATACTTTAATTTGAAATCTAATTACTTAGCTCTTCAACTCAGGATCCAAGTTTGTCTAAAATAATGGAGAATTTATATGTAATTGCTTGTTTACATCCAGTCATGCGCTTGAAGCAGTTTTCAGATGGGTAATCTTAATATTTTTTGGCTTTTTCTGATTTCAAAAATATCTATTGTAGGAAATACGTTAAAAAAGGTGAAAAACTCAAAATCTCATCTTTCAGAGGTAAATACTGTTAACATTTTAACGTTTAACTTCATTGTTTTTTCTTTTTCTATTTAGAGACTTTAAAAAAGCATAGAGAAATGTTAAACCCTTACTCTGATTTGAAGTATGGGTAGAATTGTCCGTGAAATAAGGTATAGCAGACTTGTCTCTGAAATACGTCAGGTTGCCCTGCCACAGAATTTGTATCTAGTGTGTACTTATTTTAAAAGCCATAATTCAATATGTTTATGAATTTCTTGGTGTACAGAAACCCATTTGGTTCCTTTTATCTTTCAAGAGTGTATATGAAGTTGTTTTTATCTCTTGTAGCTTTTAGAGTCTTCTTAACTAGTACAGGGAGCTCTGTATGGTACTAATGAGGGCATATTTGAAGTATGTTTATGGCATCATAGATTTTAAAACCAAACTTTTTTCCACTAAAACATTTTTTATAATGTATACATGTTTAATTTTCTTTTAATTTCTTTCAAGTTTTAGTCATGAATAAAAATGAATGTGAGTACTGTGGAGCCAAGATCCTGTTTTTTAAGTGCCTGGCACTTAATAGATGGTCAACAGTGAATAAATTAAATTGAAATCAATTAATTAATTTAAAATAATGGTTGTTCATTCCTTTTTTTTAAAGATTTTATTTATTTATTTATTTGACAGAGAGAGAGAGATCACAAGTAGGCAGAGAGGCAGGCAGAGAGAGAAGAGGAAGCAGGCTCCCTGCCAAGCAGAGAGCCCGATGTGGGACTTGATCCCAGGATCCTGAGATCACGACCTGAGCTGAAGGCAGAGGCTTAACCCGCTAAGCCACCCAGGTGCCTGGTTGTTCATTCTTTATTCCATTTCTTTAATCATCTCTGCTTAAATTCCCTTAAAACTTTTTGCTATTTGCCTTATATTCACTGAATTTATTTCTTACTAAGTGGACTTGTTTCTTTTTTCTTTATTAACATATTATTTGCCCCAAGTGTACAGGTCTGTGAATCATCAGGCTTACACATTTCACAGCACTTGCCATAGCACATACCCTCCCCAATGTCCATAACCCAAACCCCCCACCCCGCACCCCCCAGCAACCTTCAGTTTGTTTCATGAGATTAAGAGTCTCTTATGGTTTGTCTCCCTCCTCGGTCCCATCTTGTTTCATTTTTTTCTCTTCCTACCCCCCACAGCTCCCCACCCTGCCTCTCAAATTCCTCATATCAGAGAGATCATATGATAATGTCTTTCTCTGACTGACTTTCGCTTAGCATAATACCTTTTAGTTCCATCCACCTTGTTGCAAATGGCAAGATTTCATTTTTTGATGGCTGCATAGTATTCCATTGTATATATTTACCACATCTTCTTTATCCATTCATCTGTTGATGGATATCGAGGTTCTTTCCATAGTTTGGCTCTTGTTTGACATTGCTGCTATAAACATTCAGGTGCATGTGCCTCTTCAGATAAATACATTTTTATCTTTAGGGTAAATACCCAGTAGTGTGATTCCTGGGTCGAAGGCAGCTGTATTTTCAACTTTCTGAGGAACCTCCATACTGTTTTGCAGTGTGGCTGCACCAATTTGCATTCCCACCAACAGTATAGGAGGGTTCCCCTTTCTCTGCATCCTCACTAAGACCTTGTTGTTTCCTGACTGGTTAATTTTAGCCATTCTGACTGTTGTGGGATGGTATCTCATTGTGGTTTTGATTTGTATTTCCCTGATGCGAGTGATGTTGAGCTCTTTTTCATGTGTCTGTTGGCCATTTGGATGTCTTCATTGCAGAAATGTCTGTTCATGCCTTCTGCCCATTTCTTGATTGGATTATTCTTTGGGTGTTGAGTTTGATAAGTTCTTTATAGATTTTGGGTACTAACCCTTTATCTGATATGTCATTTGCAAATATCTTCTCCCATTCTGTCAGTTGTCTTTGGTTTTGTTAACTGTTTCCTTTGCGGTGCAAAAGCTTTTGATCTTGATGAAGTCCCAGTAGTTCATTTTTGCCCTTGCTTCCATTGCCTTTGGCGATGTTCCCAGGAAGAAGTTGCTTTGGCTGAGGTCAAAGAGGTTGCTGCCTGTGTTCTCCTCAAGGATTTTGATGGATTCCTGTCTCACTTTGAGGTCTTTCATCCATTTTGAGTCTGTTTTTGGGTGTGATATGAGGAGTTTCATTCTTCTGCATGTGACTGTCCAATTTTCCCAACACCATTTGTTGAAGAGACTGTCTTTTTTTCCATTGGACATTCTTTCCTGCTTTGTTGAAGAATTGTTGACCGTAGAGTTAAGGGTCCATTTCTGGGCTCTCTATTCTGTTCCATTGATCTATGTGTCTGATTTTGTGCCAATACCATACTGTCTTGTTGATGACAGCTTTGTAATAGAGCCTGAAGTCTGGAATTGTGATGCCACCAACTTTGGTTATCTTTTTCAACATTGCTGTGGCTATTCTAGGTCTTTCCTGGTTCCATATACATTTTAGGATTATTTGTTCCATTTCTTTTAAAAAAATTGATGGTATTTTGATAGGGATTGCGTTAAATATGTAGATTGCTTTAGGTAGTGTAGACATTTTCACAATATTTGTTCTTCCAATCCATGAGCATGGAACGTTTTTCCATTTGTCTCTTTCTTAATTTCTTTCATGAGTATTCTGTAGTTTTTTGAGTATAGATTCTTTGCCTCTTTGGTTAGGTTTATTCCTAGGTATCTTATGGTTTTGGGTGCAGTTGTAAATGGGATAGACTCCTTAATTTCTCATTCTTCTGTCTTGCTGTTGGTATATAGAAATGCAACTGATTTCTGTGCATTGATTTTATATCCTGACGCTTTACTGAATTCCTAGCATTTTTGAGTGGGGTCTTTTGGGTTTCAATATCATCTGCAAATAGTGAGAGTTTGACTTCTTTTCTGATTTGGATGCCTTTTATTTCTTTTTGTTGTCTAATTGCCAAGGCTAGGACTTCTAGTACTATGTTGAATAGCAGTGGTGATAGTGGACATCCCTACCGTGTTCCTGACCTTAGGGGAAAAGCTCTGTTTTTCCCCATTGAGAATGATATTCACTGTGGGTTTTTCATAGATGGCTTTGATGATATTGAGGTATGTACCCTCTGTCCCTACACTGTGAAGAGTTTTGATCCGAAAAGGAAGCTGTACTTTGTCAAATGTTTTTTTTAATATCGGTTGAGAGTATCGTATCATTCTTGTTCTTTCTTTTATTAATGTATTGTATCACATTGATATGCGGGTGTTGAGCCAACTTTGCAGCCCAGGAATAAATCCCA